AAAAAAAAAAAAAAAGTTAAATTATTTTAGTGACTTAAAAGGTTTTTGGTTACATTTATTTAGTGTGTTTGTGTGTGTGTGTGCATGTGTATGTGTGTGCATGTGTGTACGCTTTATAAAAGGAAAATCTATCAGACATCTCACCAAATAGAAGAAAACAAGAAAAATTATTTTTAAATGGATTAAAAATTCAATAATTAAAAAGTATAATACATGGGGCTGGAGAGATGGTTCAGCAGTTAAGAACACTGGCTGTCCTTGCAGAGGACCCAGATTCAATTCCCAGCCCACATGATGGCTAACAACAGTCCATAACTCCAGTTCCAGAGGAACCCAACACCTTCATTTGACCTCCTCTACCATTGCATGACAGGTGTGCACTTACACACATGCAGGAAATACACTCCTACACATAAAATAAAAATGATAAATAAATAAAAATTTAAAAAGGAAAAATATGATACATGAAATGAAAATTTTACTAAATGAGCTCTACAGCAAATTTGAACTAGCAGAAAAAAGAATCAAAGAACTTGAAGATAAGGTAATAGAAATTATGTAGTCTGAGAAAAAAAAAGAAGAAAGAAGCATAAACAAACCCTCAAAGGCTTGTGAGACAGCATCAAGTTGAGAACACAATGTATTGAAGAGAGAGATAAAGAGGGAAGAGAAGTGGAAATAAAGTCCAAAGTTTCTACATCCAGGAAGCTCAGGAAACTCCAAGTAGGAGAAAGGTGGGGTCTAGTGCTCAGTTCAGTGCATCTCTCTGCTCCACCCTAAATAGGATGACATTAAAGAGCTCTACACAGAGATGTATCATAATGAAAATATAAAAAAAAAAAAACAAAGACGAAGAATCCCAAAAACAAAAAACTTGCCATACACAAGGTCTCTTCATTAGTAACCAACTTCTCATCAGAAGTCAAAGAGGCCAGAAAACAGTGAGATGATGTGCTGGTAGAAATGAAAGGAAAATGCGCCAAGTAAGAAGTCCAGGGTCGGAGAGGTGGCTCAGCAGCTAAGAGCACTGTCTGTTCTTGTAGAAGATCTAGGTTCGAATCCCAGCACCCACATGGTGGCTAACAACCATTCGTAACTCCAGTTCCATGGGATCCAATGCCATCTTCTGTCCTCCACAGCTACTGCATGACATGGGTGTACTACATGCAGGCATAATACGCATACACATTAAAAAAAGAAAAAAAGTCCATACACAGGGTCTGGAGAGGTGTCTCAGCAATTAAAGGTGCTTACTGCTCTTGCAGAAGACTCAAGTTTGGTTCCCAGCTTCCATGTTGGGTGGCTCACAACTGCCTGTAACTCCAGCACCAGGGGATCCAACACTTCTGTGCTCCACAGACTCTTGCACTCACACGCACATATCTATATGCAGACACGCATACACATAATTAAAAATAATAAAAATAAATCTGTTTTTAAAATTCCAAACCCAGTGAAGCTGTCCTTCAAAAGCAAATAAAGGATTAAGACATTTCACAATTAATAGAAGTAGAGCTCATGGCTTGCAAACCTGTTCTGCAAAACATACTCCTTGACTATCCTCAGATTACAATGACAGAAACCCTCTATGACTTCTCTTCCAATTTTATAGATAGGAGAATGGAGGGCCAGGTCCAAGGAATGATCTTATATATGTTGGCACAAGAATTAGAGCCCTCATTTTAACCACACTAAAGAAGTCATTTTGATTCAGGGTTTTTTAATATAATGGGAACCTTTCACGGCCTAGTTGTGCAAGACCCAAGGACCTGGGATGCCAAACACCAAAGACCAACCTGGGATACTGGCTCTGAGTTGGTTGTCTCATGTCAATGAATATTAAAGATGAAGGTATGGGCAAAGTGAAAGCAAGGTTTAAGAGGATTACAGAGGGACTGGAGAAATGGTTCAGCAGTTAAGAGCACTGGCTGCTCTTGAGGAAGATCTGGGTTCGAATCCTAGCCACTCACATAGTGGCTAACAACTGTCTGTAACTCCAGTTCCAGGGGAGCTGACATGGGTACTACATAACATGGGTGTACTTATATACATGAAGACAAAACATTCATACACATAAAGAAATGAGAGAGAGAGAGAGAGATCAAAGAAAAGAAAAAGTGGGCTGAAGAGATGGTTTAGCAATTAAGAGTGCATATTGCTTTTGCAGAGAACCAGAGTTCAGTTCCTAGCACCCATATCAGGCGACTGACAACTGCCTGTAACTCCAGATCTAGGTGATCCAGTGACTTCTGGCATCCAGGGACACTTGCATTCACATGCACAAAAATACAGATACACATAATTAAAAATAAAATAAATTGTTGAAAAAAGAAGAAAAAGTCATTGAATTTCCATGTTCAGTGTTTTTATAGTGCTATAGCAGAAACTGGACAAAGGCTGAGGTGATTTCCACGAGGCTGGTACCTCTCAGAACTATCATGGGTCAAGCCAATGCATGTCCCCTTGGCCCAGCCAGGAAGATTATCATGCACTGGTCATGTGCCGCCCACCCAGTCAGTGGTGGTTGGAGCTGCCTCTGTCCATCTCTGTGGTGGTCAAAGCTCCCTCTGTCCATCTCTGACTTGTGCTTTGTTAGTTGCTGATTTTGGCTGTCTTAACTGTTAGTTACTGGCTGGTGTTATGTCCAACCTTGCTGGTTGGTATCTCAAACGCAGTTAATTATACTAAGTTCTCTTTGTTCTCCTGACCTCCAAGAAGTAGCCACATTTGTTATCAGCTATCTCCTTGTCTATGGGATGGTTTGGGTCTCTTTCCTGAAGTACATGAGGTATCTTGTTATAAGGCATCCTTACTTACAGTTTAGTCTGTTATAATTAGTTGCATAAGAACCAAGACTATAAGAAAGGGTAGTAATGTCTTATATATGTCCCTCAAGGGTTAGTTCTTTAACACTAAACTACAAGCCTTTGTTCCTTTTCCTCAATGTCTAGACTTTGCTGTGTTATACCTTGATCTTCATTTTAACTCCAGCTTCTGTTCTCAATGACAACACACTGAGAAAGAGTTAGGGGAACTTAGATCAGAAAAGCAGGGACCGGCCCCTTTAAGTAGAGCTGTTTCTTGCGCCCCAAGTTTCATCTTGTTCCCCCAGGATTTTGCATCTCGTTATAACTGCTAACCGTTCAGTAAAGGCCTGAAGAAAAAACTTGCTGGGGGTGGGGAGGTGGGGAGGTAGGGGGATAAGGGGTGGGAAGATCCCACCCAAGGGAAGTTACCTGGGGAAGCATCAATGAGGGGAAAAGGGAGGGAGTCAGGAAAGGCAGGCAGAATCCTATGAAAGGCCTGACCCAGAGCTCCTGGGTGGACTCCCAGCTCTGGGGCCCCCTCCTATTCCAGTGGGAGCTGTTTACTCCAATAAAGCTTGTCATATTCTCTCTCTCTCTCTCCCTCCCTCCTTCTCTCCCTTCTTTCCTCCATCCCTCTGTCACTCCATCCGTCCCTGTGGAGTTTGCTTCTGTATTTCTTGTGTCTGTAGCTTTCCACCTGTCACTATCACTTTCTAGCACTTCTATGGCCCCCAACCCCCTCACCCCTACCCCATCTCCTCCTGCTTGTTATTTTCATTTTCTTCATGCTTGGGTCTTCTGCCTTTCCTGGACATCCAATTCTTTGTTCCGGACACAAGATCAGCATATTCCCTAGATGGCCACCCCTTACCCCAGACTCCTGTA